ACTTTTGGGAATTTTTGGGACCCTTTCTGCACTTGCTGCATGTCTCCACAGCTGCCCGGGAGCAGAAGCAGCCCCACGGCTTTGCTGAGGACCGTCTCTTCAAGCATCTTTTCACAGGCTACAACCGGTGGTCACGGCCAGTGCCCAACACCTCTGATGTGGTCATAGTGAAGTTTGGGCTGTCAATAGCACAACTGATCGATGTGGTAAGGTGCTCAAACAGGGATTTCATCCTAGGACCCCTGAGCCATTTCTTCTGCCCTCCATGCTCTTCTTCTTCTTCTTCTGCCCTCCGTGGTCTGTCCCCAGTAGGGGACAAGCCATCCCCCTGCCTCCACAAAACCTCCAGTGAGCAGGTGACATTGCTCATCACTGCTCCATCCCAAGCTGTCCCTTCCCCTGAGAGCAAGAGAGCATCAAGGAAAACTGCACAGCTCTCTATCCCCATTCTTATCTTCTCACCATCTATACCTATAGGGCTATCCCTGGGCTTGTTTTTCCATCCATGCCTTGTTTGTTACTGTCACACACGCCCATCTGTCCATCCATCCATCAACCCACCCACCTGCCATCACAGAACCCCCAGACCTTTAGGGTGCTTGGCACTGAAGGTACCCCAGGTCCCTCTGGTCTCATCCCCCTGCCCCCCTGCCCCAGAGGGGTCACCCAGAGCAGGGTGCCCAGCCACTCTTTACTATCTATAGTCTATCTACTATCTGCTACACAGAGCCTAGATAAATCCATCATCCCATTCATCTATCCATATATTTATCTATCCATCCATCTGCCCATTTATCCCTGGCATTTGCACTTGTCTACCCACCAGAACTTCTCCGAGCTTGCTGCCACAATATACTATTGTTTGCTGCCATCTAGTGAGCAAATATCCAATTTCTCCTGCACCTTGCACTGGTATCAATTGCTTTAAGGAACTGAACCCTAGAGGCAGAATGGGAGCTCGGCAGCATGAGCAGGATAGGCAGAAGGGTAATATGGGAATTGATGCAGTGTTGGGATGAACCTTCTCTGTCCTTCTCCTCTCATCTCTCCATTTCCCACTGCAGGATGAGAAGAACCAAATGATGACCACAAACGTTTGGCTGAAGCAGGTAGGAGTCTGTGCCATCCGTGGGGCCCAGGATGGAGAGAATAAAAAAGGAGGAGGATGGTACTGGGGAGCTCAGTCCCACCAGACCCAGGGTCACCTGGTGCCCTCCTTGCCTCCTTCCAGGAGTGGAGTGACTACAAACTGCGCTGGAACCCGGAGGACTTTGACAATGTCACCTCCATCAGGGTGCCCTCTGAGATGATCTGGATCCCCGACATCGTGCTCTACAACAAGTGAGATGATGCATCCCTAGGACCAATCCTCTCATTCTACCTCATCTCCATCACATTCATCCCACCCCATCATATCTCATCCCATTCCATAGTATCACATCCCACAGCATCACATCCCATTCCATAGTATCACATCCCATCGCACCACATTCCATCCCAGCTCATCCTATCCCATCCCATTCCATTGGATCCCATCCCATTGTATCCCATTCTATCCCATCCCACCCCATCCCAACACAACCCATCCCATTCCAGATGGATGGAGCTCCTGCCCCTGTTTCCTGAGGGGAACCCTTCACCCTCTCTGTCCCCACAGTGCCGACGGGGAGTTTGCTGTGACACACATGACAAAGGCCCACCTCTTCTCCAATGGGAAAGTGAAGTGGGTGCCACCCGCCATCTACAAGAGCTCGTGCAGCATTGACGTCACCTACTTCCCCTTCGACCAGCAGAACTGCAAGATGAAGTTTGGCTCCTGGACATATGACAAGGCCAAGATCGACCTGGAGAACATGGAACACCACGTGGACCTCAAGGACTACTGGGAGAGTGGCGAGTGGGCCATCATAAACGCCATTGGCAGGTACAACTCCAAGAAGTACGACTGCTGCACTGAGATCTACCCAGACATCACCTTCTACTTCGTCATCCGCCGCCTCCCGCTCTTCTACACCATCAACCTTATCATCCCCTGCCTGCTCATCTCCTGCCTCACCGTGCTGGTCTTCTACCTGCCCTCCGACTGCGGTGAGAAGATCACACTCTGCATCTCCGTCCTTCTGTCCCTCACCGTTTTCCTGCTGCTCATCACCGAAATCATCCCCTCCACCTCTCTGGTCATCCCGCTCATTGGCGAGTATCTCCTCTTCACCATGATCTTCGTCACGCTCTCCATCATCATCACTGTCTTTGTCCTCAATGTGCACCACCGCTCCCCCAGCACCCACACCATGCCCCACTGGGTGCGTAGCTTCTTCCTGGGCTTCATCCCCCGTTGGCTCTTCATGAAGCGACCCCCGGTGCTGCTCCCTGCCGAGGGGACAACGGGCCAATATGACCCTCCGGGGACCAGGCTCAGCACCTCCCGCTGCTGGCTGGAGACCGATGTGGATGACAAGTGGGAGGAGGAGGAGGAGGAAGAAGAAGAGGAAGAGGAGGAAGAAGAAGAGGAGGAGAAGACGTATCCCAGCCGTGTGCCCTCAGGGGGATCCCAGGGCACCCAGTGCCGCTACAGCTGTGGACGCCAAGCGGGCAAAGCATCAGGGGGCCCGGCCCCCCAGGTGCCCCTCAAGGGGGAGGAGGTGGGCTCTGATCAAGGGCTGACACTGTCACCCAGCATCCTGAGGGCCCTGGAGGGTGTGCAGTACATCGCAGACCACCTGCGAGCAGAGGATGCTGACTTCTCGGTGAGTGGGGGGCAACTGAGGGCTGGGGGTGAGGGGGATTCCCCAACCCAGTGCTCCCTCCACGGGGTCAGTGATGGGGATATCCAGTTGTATCCATGCATGCTGAGGGCCTTAGTTCAGGGCATCTATGATCACCTGCTGGGAAATAAGGATAGATGTTGCACTGAGCAACATGGTCTAGACCAGTCACAGCAATTACAGGCATGGGTTGGTGGTCGGGCTTGATGATCTTAGTGCTCTTTCCAACCTTATTGATTCTATGATTCTATGAAATATGGGTTCTACCAGGTCAGCTCAGTGTTCCTCAGGCTCACTGCTCTACATCATGTCAGTATCCATCACCCAGCTCAGAGCCTGCATCCCAACCCACAATTTGGGAACACCTGGGTGGGGTTTGCTGTGCCCCCAGCAGCCTCCCTGTAGAGATCCATCCCCACACCTTATGCTTGAGACATGTCCTAACTCTTGGAGGCTTCACCCTCTACCCACAGCTCACAGTCCCTCTCCTCCTGGCAGGTGAAGGAGGACTGGAAGTACGTGGCCATGGTGATAGACCGCATCTTCCTCTGGATGTTCATCATCGTCTGCTTGCTGGGAACCGTGGGGCTCTTCCTCCCACCCTACCTGGCAGGGATGATTTAGGGATAAGTGGGTGATGTGGGTACCTCTCACAGCATCATGACCATGGAGGACCCTTGGGTGGGACGTGCAGCAGTGGGGAGGGTAGCAAAAAGTGTGCTGGGAGTGCCCTGCTCATGGTGGTGGCTATCATGGCCTCAAGGAAAGCTCAGCACAGCCTCTCCACCAGCCAAACATGGAATGGAGGCATCTAGAACAGGCATTCACTTCTTGCAGCTGCTGCAGGTTCCATCTGGAACCCAAGAGACACGTCTGGTTGTGACTCCAAGAGAGGATATCACAGCTGCTTCTGGATGCATCCTGCCTCAGGACCACAGCCATCACAATGTGGGGCAGGACACAGTGCTTTGGGGTGTGACAGTGGGAGGGGGCAGAAGTTCCTGCTCACACTACACAGCTCAGGGGCTCTGCTCTTCTCTGCTCTGCAAAACCCAACAGCACAAGCGATCACACTGCACCAGCCCACGTGTGTGCTGGTGGGTTTGTCAGCACAGGGATCCTGGGCAAATTGTCCTCTCTATCCTATACCTGTGATAACAAGCAGACCCCAAACCCCCCCGCTCTGATGACTGCTGCAACCCAGCTTTAATTTCTATCTTCCATGCACCCTAAAGGACACGTGCTTGCAAAGATCTACTCTTATCTGTGCCCTGAAGCCAGGCTTTCCCTGCGGGGTTTTTCCTCCAGGAGACCAACCCAGGAGCTGGATGTGACCTGACGGGTTTCAGAAAACACTTTGTGCTATCAGGAGTGAAATGGGCTGGAATAAATGATGCCACTGAGAAAAATGCACATCCCAAGGGTGTTGCAGCTGCTCATGCATCCTGTGCTGTGCGCACACAGGGCTGAGATAAGGGATGTGCAAGGCAGCAAGCTGGATGTATGCATGAGTCTGTGTGCATCTGACCCAACACATCCCAGTTTTGTGGCTCTGCAGAGCCCAGTGTGCTCACCTCCTCTCCACATCAGCCCTCCTAAACTCCTTGCTGGTTGCCTCCCGAACCAAAATCCCCCTTTCAGCAAAGCTCTGCCTGACTGGGGATGGAGCAGAAGTTCTGGGGTGAACCCCAGTGTGACACAGCAAGCACCTCAAACACCCTTCTCTATGGGGAACCCATGCTCTTGACTGTACTGTCCCCCAGAACCTCTCCCAGCTGCATCCACCCTGAACTTGCTATGATTTCCTGATGCTCTTTGAAAGGCAAAACACAAATATCCGAAAATAGTTCTGCTTAGCGAGACCTGGGATGGAAACAGAGAGTGGCACCTTGCATGGATTTGGGAGTTGGTGGGGCTCCAGAGATGGCAGACCCAGGTTGCATATTAAGAAACATTTCTTCTCATAAAGAGCAGTGATGCAGTGGCACAGCTGCCCAGGGAGGTGGTGAGGTCACTGGAGGTGTTCCAGAACCATGGGGATGTGGCACCGAGGGATGGGCATGGGGGGGTGGGTTGGGGTTGGACTCATGGATCTTGGAGGTCTTCTCCAACCTGAATGATTCAATGATTCTACGACCAGAGATGAACAAGGGACACTCTTGCTGCAGGGTTCTGGAGTCCAGCCTGCATTCTTTTCCAGGAGAGGGGGACGTCAGCAAGCAAAGGCACAGCAGGACTTGGTGCATGGTTTATCTCAGCCAGCGCGAGCAGCGTTGTGGGAAGATGCTGGGGAAAAGCCCAAACCGTACGATTTCCAATTCAAGCACAAACCGAACAGAGAATTTGTTGCTGTTGTCGTTTACATAGAGTAGCTTGGAGCAAACTCAGCTGGAAGGGGCCCCATTCTCCCGGCTGGTTTGTGGCACTGACGGCTGTGGGCACAGGGACCCATCCCTCCCACACTCCCCAGGCTGGGGCTGGATGCGAGAACCGACCCGACGCACGCCCATCATTAAATAAACTCTTCTATATAATGTACAAGGAAATGCAAACAGTCCCTCCAGCGAGCCCCTCCTGGGAAGCCAGCTCCCCTGGTCACCGTGTCCCCAGCTCCCAGCACCGAGCAGCAGGGCGCGGGTCCCCAGTTGGATGTGCTGCTCCTGGGAGGGGCCATGGGACGGACATGCGGACCCATTGGATAGACACATGGACCCACTGGACAGCCCTATTGGGCCCATTGAATGGACACACAGCCCCGTTGGTGCCACCAAGCCAAAGGGACCTTCATCCACCCTTGGGGACAGCCAGGCCACCCCCAGTCCTTTGGAGGGATGCGTCACCAGGCACCTCCTTTCTTCAGAAGACTGACGAGATGATGCTAAAGACACAAGCAGCTGCAGGAGGAGGGGGACATGGAGGACAGGGTGGCGAGGCCACAGGAGACACACAGAAGCCAGCTCGTCCACACCGCTCTCCTCCCATTGCCACCAAACAATGCGGCGTTGCCTCTCCTCCTCTTCTCCTTCCCCACCCCTTCATGTTCCCTCACTCCAAGCACAGCTTCACCAGGTTGGCCTGGACCTTGGCTTGGTCCACAGCGTCCAGCAGGTTCTTGGCGTCCACAGCCAAGGTATGGGAGGCCGTCAGCATCTGCTTCTTGCACTCCTCGCTCAGCGAGGTGACGGCGTTCTGCTGTGCCAGGCGCATCTTATTTATGAGCTCAGCCAAGTCCTTGTTGAGCAACTTCTGGGTCCCTTCAATCTGGCCATGACATACACAGGTTATAGCTGGAGGTGTCCCCAAGCCTCCTCCCTCATCCCCATCCCCACGGGGCATGCTGCAGACCTACCTCGGTGCGGGAAGTGGCGGGCAGGATGGGCAGGATCTCATCCACGCTGCCGATCAGCTTGCGGAGGGACAGGCCCACGTTCTGTGGGGTGAGTGGTAGGGTTAGAATGGCTCCAGGCACAGGACAGTGGTGCACAATCCCTGATGCTGATTTAAGAATCCCATTGGGGAGAGAAGAATGGGGGGAAATGCTCTCCTTGGACCTAAGGACCCAATGGAGGAACAGGGCATACTGGAATTGATACCTGGACACAAGGATGTTTTGGAAATGCTCTCACCATTGGTCCAAGGACTCAACGGAAGAGAAGAGTGGGGTATGTTGGAAATGCTCTCCCACTGACCAAAAGAAGGAGCAGGATATATTGGAAGTGCTCCGATCACTGACCCAAGGATGCAACAGGATCAGGATATATTGGAAGTGCTCTGCATTATCCAAGGACCCAATGGAGGAGCCAGACATGTTGGAAACATTCCCACTCTTGACCCAAGAACACAATGGAGGAGCACAGCATGCTGGAATTTCTCCTACCACTGATCCAAAGACTCAGTGGAGGAGCAGGGCATGTTGGAATTCCTCCTGCTATTGGCACAAGGACACGCTGGAGGAGCAAGACATGTTGGAAATGCTCCTCTACTGACACAAGGTCACAGGGAAGAAGCAGAGCACGTTGGAAGTTCTCCTGTCATTGATCCTAGGATCCACTGAAGGAGCAAGGCATCCTAGAATTGCTCCCACCATTGACCCAAGGACCCAAGGTGTGTTGCTAATGCTCCCTCCTATACATGTAAGTCTTTTCAAAAAGGATTCTCGGTGGGAGCTGCTCAGCAGACTGATTCCCAGCTCCCTCCACGATCCCTGCAGGAGGCCTGCCCCTTTGCTTCCCCTACCTTCACCACGAGGATGTACCCCTCTGGGGGCAGGAGGCTGATCTCATTCTTCAGCTGCAGGACAGCCCTCACCAGGTCCATGACGTTGCTGTACACCGTGTCATCCGTGCGGTCCAGGTTGGCAGTGGGGGCCGGCTGGATGGACTGGCAGAGAATAGGGCCATGGTGGACTCAGGACAGCAAGGGAGCAAGGAAGGAATAGACCAACATCGGTGGGGAGCCCTGGCCAGTGTCTGCACCCCAGACCCATCCACCTCCCACCCACAACTTGGACACTGTTTAGTTGTTCCAAGAAGTCCTATCTTACAGACGAACAGAAGTAAATGGCTGTGGAGGAAGACTTGGACTGTCTGAGGAAGTCTTACCTGTGCCCCAAGTCTTGGAGGCTTCTGGGGGGGGGGCGTGAACTCCGCTACACCATCAGTAAGGGAAAGGAAGGAGAGTTACTCTGGATGCTCCCTGGATGTGTGTGCATGTTCCTCATGCCCCACACCGCTCAGGGCACCCCAAATTGATACAGCTGTATGCCACCTCCCCTCCACCATCAGGGCAAGGAAAAGGGGATGCCTGCAGCTCAGCCCCCAACTTGTGGAACAGGCAGAGCCCTTGGGGCAGGCAGAGCCACTCCTGGTGATGATCTGGGATTGCTGGAACAGGGCTGGTGCAAAAGGCAGCAGGGACACTCACTGTAATCCGTCTCCTTCTCCGGGAGCAGCTGCAGGGGAAGAAACAGCAGCAAATGAGAGGTGAGAAATCCTGTTCAGAGAAGCAAGAGTGGAGGAGGCATTGCCTCAGGGTGGAGGCATCCTCATTCCAGAGGGCTTCTGGGGGCAGGTCTGGACTGCAAGCATTGTACCCCATTAAAAGTTTTGGACAAGTTTTCTGCAACTGGGGCACAGGGTTTTCCCAGCATGATAACAGAAAGCGATTTGACCCCAGCAATCCCTAAATGCTTCCGAGAGCAGGGCTGGAAAATGAGCAGCAGGGACCACTGCAAGCTGTACGTATCTCTTGCCCACCCCCAGGAGAAGGGCCCCTCTGCAGATGAATGCAGTCAACAGGGTTCTCTGGGGCTGACAGCACTCACCAGAGCAGTGTTGTTGTTCATGAACACTGTTGGGTCCTGAAAAAGAGGAGAAGGTTTGTGAGAGGTGATGGGAAAAGGAAAAGATAAGGGAAAAGGGAAGGAAAGGGAAAAATGGGGACCTCCGGAGAACTGTTCCCTTCCCTCTACTCTCTTCATGGCAAAACTTTCCCAAATTCTGATTCTTTCATCCCAATTCCCAACAGAAAAAGAAGCGCTCCCTCCTTCACTTTGCCCAACATCACCCAGGAAAATCCATCTCTGATCTCTGGAGACCTTCATGGTTTTCCTGCCTCCAGAAGACCACAAATGCATACCCCAGGAGCATGGCCCATCTCCGCAGCCCCACAGCCCCTCATGGCCCTGTCCCTGTCCTCATCCCTTCCATGGGGCACCAGGACCCCGAGCTGCTGCCCCTCAAAATGCTGCTGCTCCCCAAAATGCTGCTGCAGCACCAGAGCTGGGCATTGCTCCATGGCTGCGTCAGTCGTGCTAATAAAAGATTTTCCATCTCGCTGCCGCTGGTGCATTAGTCACACATTAGCTACCTTGATGCTGGCTTTAAAAAGCATTATAAAAGCTCGTGAAGACACAATTGCGTTTGAAAAATTGCGCAGGTGTCAAAGTGTTTGCTTCCCATCACAGCTCGGCGAGGTGCAGAACACAGAGAGGTGTGAGTGGGATGGTGATGGGGGCTGCCCTGACACCTCCGGCTGTGCACAAACCGCTGGAGCTGCACGCCTGCTGTGAGACCTGCAGCGTGCTGCAATTGTGGTTATAGTGCATGAAGCAAGCTGCAGCTCGGTGCATGGTGGCAATGCGAGAGCTGGGAGCACCCAGCCCAAAGTCTGTCCCCAACCCAGTGTTACCCACCAGGGATTTCTCCTCCTGCCGCAGCCACTGGTAGTCCTCCACCATCTGCTTCTGCTGCTTGTCCAGCACCTGCCGCATCTTCAGCCTCTCCATCTCCCACAGCTTCTGTGCCTCCTCCCTGCTGCTGGGATGCAGGAAGTCTTCCTCCTGGCGCATGGAGCAGGCAGAGATGGGGGGGCTCAGCACCAGGAGCCTCCCCATGCGGTTTTGGCACAGCTCCACACATGCAAAGCCATGCTCCAGCCTCCTGGGCATGCAGTTCAGCACCGGAGCAGTGCATTTTGCCCACGGTGCAGATGCTCACGGTGCTGGGATTGTGCCAAACCATCCTGCAGATCATTGCCAGATGCAGGGCAACACCTGCCCCTGATTTTGGGGCCATGCAGTGGTGCTGAGGAGCTAAACGCCAGGAGACAATGCTGCAGCCACCCATCCCCGGAGCACCCCAGCTGGATTTTGGGTACTCCATGCCAGCATCTCCTTCACCACCACACCTCTACTTTGGTGTGCATGCATGCAAACATCATGGCAGCCTTTCCAGCTCAAGCAGTGCAGCGCAGGATTGGGTACACAGCTGGAAGCAGCGCAGGCTGCAGTGCCGAGCACAGAGCATTCCCCCGCCGAGCCCCTTCCTCGATGTGTTCCTCGTGACGCCCTTGGCTCCTTGTCTTACCCGCATGCTGTGGCGCTTGAAGACGTGGTGGCGGTGAAGCGGAGGGGTGTGCAAGGAGCTGGCTGGAGACTGGTACTCGGCAGGGCTGGTGAGGGTGGGTGAGCTCGCACACAGACCCTCGGGCACCTGTGGCAAGGCGGGCACGGGACAAAGCCATGGGAGCAGGCAGACAGACGGACACACGGACAGAGCAAAGAGTGTGGGACAGAGGCTTTCACAGCAGAACATCACAGAGGAGCAGCATAGGACCATCTTCACCACAACGCTCGCTCCCAAAATTATGCTCCTGCCCAAACCCCTGCCTGGATCCAAAAAGCATCCAAGAGTGTAGGGACGCTCGAAGGAACGGTGCAAACTCAGCTGCAGGCAGCACTAGAGTGCAGCAAACCTCCTCTCCTTGTACCTGTGCATACACATGGGACTGCGAGAGCATTGCCAAAAGGATGGGGGAGCATTGCTAACAGAATGGGAAGAGCATTGCAAACAGGATGGGGGGAGCATTGCCAATGGGATTAGGGGAGCTTTGCAAACTGCCCTGGGGCAAAAGCCGCTCTGAGGCAGAGACAAGGCTGAGCCCGAAGCAGCACACTGTCCTGCTGGCACTTGGTGGCTCTGAGACCCAAAAGCCACCAGTTCTGAGGGCTGGAGCTCTGGGCACAGCTTCTTGGGGCCAAGCCTTTGTGTTCCCCGTGGATTGCTTGGGGCATACAGCCTTACCTGGAACTGCAGTTTGGGTGCCAGGAGGTTGCTCTGGGGTGGAGGTTTGTACCTGGGTCTGCTGGGCTGTGGGAGCAGAGGGAGAAAGGTGAGGGGGTGCAACAAGAAGACACCCCATTTTGCCCTGCAGCATTCTGCCCATGTCCCACCTTTGGGGGAGGCTCCTGGGGAGTTGGTGGCTCCATGATTTTGGGAGGCCGGTGGCGGTTGTTCCGCTCCTGCTCCTTGGCCAGCTCCTTCTCCATCAGGTAAATGTCACTGCAGGGGGAGAGGGAGGGGACCTCAGTGCCATGCCCTGATGCACTTTGATAAATGGGATGGGTGGGTGGAAGAGGAAGGTGCCCCAAAATCTCTCCCATTACCTCAAGCTGCAAACCAGGTCCTTGAACTTGGGCCTCTCACTGGGGTCGTAGTCCCAGCAGCGCGTCATCAGGGTGTAGAGGATGGGTGGGCAGAGGTCGGGCTTGGGCAGGCGGTCACCCCTCTCCAAAACCCCGATCACATCCTTGTTCTCCAGCCAGAAGAAAGGCTGCCGGCCATAGCTCAGGATCTCCCACATGCACACGGCTGCGAGGCACAGGGGAGAAATCACAGATGATGCCAGAGTTACCACTCTAGGGACCATCTCCTTGCCCAAGGTTTTGGGGACCTGGTGACAGAGCCAGGCTCTGGATGTTTTCAGGGAGTAATGTTTAATCCAGATCCTTGAGCATCTCAAATTCAGTATGCCCTCAATGATGGTTGAGCATCTTGAATGCAGGATGCCCCCAGTGATGGCTAAGCATTTTGAATGACGGATGCCCCCAGTGGCAGTAGACATCTTGAATGTGGGATGCCCCCAATAATGGCTGAGCACCTTAAATGTAGGTTGCTCCCAATGATGGTTGAGCATCTCCAGTTTGGGATGCCCCAGTGATGGTTAAGCATCTTGCATGTAGAATGCCCCCAGTGGTAGTTAGAATCATAGAACCATAGAATCACCAAGGTTGGAAAAGACCCACAGGATCACCCAGTCCAACCATCCACCGATCACCAATAGCCCTCACTAAACCATGTCCCTCAGCACAAAGTCTAAACGTTCCTTGAACATCTCCAGGGTAACAGGTTAAGTGTAGGATGCTTCCAATGATGGTAGAGCATCCCAAATTCAAGAGTTGGAACTGCAAAGGTTCTGCTCCAGGAGCCTCTCCCCAAGGCTGAGCTACCACTGCCACACCAGAGCAGGATATGTCCCTGTGCACCATGATGCTGCCTCCAGATGTGCCCAGGACCTGTCCCATCTCCATCCCACTGCCTACCAAACATCCAGACATCACTGGCTGTTGTGAAGCGTCGGAAGTTGATGGACTCAGGGGACATCCACTTGATGGGGAGACGGGTGACAGATGCTGGAGAGACAGATAGGTGGCAGCCATGCTCACGGCTGCAGATGGGCTGACACAAGCCCACATCCTACACTGCTTTACCTTTATAGTACTCCTCATCCTCGATGTACCTGGAGAGCCCGAAGTCACCCAGCTTCACACACTCTGGGGTGGCCACCAGGATATTCCTCACCGCAATGTCCCTGCAAGGACAGTGCTTTGACTGGGAAGGAGGGCTGGACCATCACATCCAAAGAAACCAGCTCCTCTGGCTGCAAAACGAGTCTGCAAGGGGTGCTACCAGCCCCTGCTGCTGCCCTGCTGCTCCCACCTCACCTGTGCACACAGTTGATGGCCTCCAGGTACGCCAAGGCTTTGCTGATCTGCAGAGCATACAGGACGAGCGTGGGCACAGCGAGGCAGTGCTTGTTCTGCTCCAGGTATTGACCCAGCTGCAAGAGGACAGGTGGGGGGCTCAGGGGCTGGAAGGCAGCACCAAGGTGGGGGGAACAGCCCCCAGCAGCATCAGCCACTGCACCTCCCCATAGGGGTACAGCTCCATGATGATCCAGGTGGGTTCTTCCTCTGCAATGCCAATGAGCTTCACGATGTGGGGGTGGTCCAACTTCTTCATCAGCACTGTGGGGAGATCCTGCCTCAGGTTCCCTACCACAGGGGAACCTCCAGCAGCCCCAACCCCACCAGGGGTGGCAGGAGAAGCTCTGTGACATACAGACAGAGCCACAGCAGCAAGAACAGCCAGGGAGCTCCTGCTGTCCACAATCGGGTTCCAATGGGTTTACGCACAGAGGGTGCCCACCTCCCCTCACATAAGATTCCAGCAGATTTCTTCCCCCAGAAGACAGTTATCTGGGGAAACCCTGTTACAACACAGAGGGTATGGGACCCCTTCTTCATCCTGCTCTACTCTGCATTGCAGTGACATACCTGCCTCACTCAGGAACTTGTCCTTGTTCTCGGGGCTGCAGTCCTTCTTGCACGTCTTCACAGCCACATTCACCCTCTCCCCTTTCTGCAAGCAGAGATGGGGGCAGCTCAACCCCACTCCCCCCGAGCACAGAGGAGGTGGGTGGGGAGGAGGCAACACTGCACACCCACCGGGTTGGTGTAGGTGCCCTCGTACACCTCGCCGAAGAAGCCTTCCCCCAGGATCCTTCCCAGTGTGACGTCCTCCCGGCAGATCCCATAGTGCTGGGCTGAGAGGAGAGGGTTGCACTGGTGGATGCTGGGCCAAGGGGAGCTGCTTGCACCCCTCCCTATGCTAAGCGGGAGGTTTTGAGTGCACATCTGCTCCGTCATCCCCTTGGCCAAGACAGAGCCCCATGGGTCCTGCTCCATAGTGTGTACCTCCAGGGAGGTAAGGTGGGCAGAGTGGGCAAAACTTAGACCCCAGATCTGGTGGGGTTGGGGTGGGAAGTTGAGTGGGCAAGGGAAAGGGGAAAATATGAAAATGTTGAGCATAGGGAGATGGTGGGCGTAAGGAGATGAGATGATGGACACAGGGAAAGGAGATGTATGGCATAGGGAGATGATGGACATAGGGATTGAAGATCATGGATTGGGTGGGCAGAGTGGGCAAAACCTAGCCCCCACATTCTGGCACTGTTGAAGATGGGGTGGGAAATTGGGACAAGCACGAGGAAGGGGAGAATAGGAAGATGGTAGCTGGAGGGAGATGGGCAGGAGGGTACCCAAGGGGTGACACCCACCTCCAGATCTCGGGCGTGAGGTCTCATCGGGGATTTCAGCATAAATCTCAGAGTCTGGGGCAAGAAGAAGTCAGCAGGCAGAGATGCAACCAGGGAAAACCAAAGTGCCCATCTCAGAGCTCCCCACCCATAGTTGATGGAGAAGAAGGGGATCCCCAACTCACCCACACTGAGGCTGTCAGACACAGCAGAGTGCCGCTCCTCCAGGTGCCTGCGGGCAGGGAGAGGTTGGGGTCAGCAAGCAGGGCACAGTGGGGCAGGGCAGGGGTCCCAGCACCCCCTGCAATACTCACGGGATGGGGATCCGTGGAAGGCTGCTCCTCTTCTCCCTCTCTGTGGGAGAACAACAGGCAGTCACCTCCCAGCTGGGCCATGCACCCCAGGGGAGTGCAAGTTTGCAACCTGTGTCCCTCTTTCCAATGCAGACAAGGGGCAGCCAACCCCCTGCTCCCCAGCAGCTCCCCATGATGTCTGGGAAGGCGTTAGGCCAACTCTTGCTATGGAAATGCCACCACCCCTTGGCTAGAGTGAACTGGGTGCAAGCACGCATGCAAAGTGTGTGCAGGGTCTCAGGTTGGGCTAATGGCTGGGAAGTTGAGGATGATGTTGCAGCTCCAGAGAAAGCCCTTGGAGCAGGGGAGGAAGGCATGGAATGGGGCATGGGTGGGCTGCCAATGGGGCTTGGTGGGGACATCCAATGTAGGGAGATGCATGCACCTATAGGTACCCATAGACGACTCACCTCTCCTGGGGAAGACGATGAGGGATGTGTCCAGGCCCCCCTGTATCCGGCAGTAGCCATCAATGAGGTCAGCCATGTTCTCTGCCTCAGCCAGAGACGACGTTTTGATGGCCAGGGACTGGGGCAGGTGATAGGGACAGAGGTTGGTTATTGCCTCCAAAACCTAGAGCCCAGGGGATGTCCCCTCTTCTGCATCTTGGGATGATTTGGGTACCACCTCCCCATATCACACAGCACCATCCCAAACTAGCACCCCATCCTCAACCCCATCGCCTGGCAGGGCCACTCCAGGCACTTTGGTGGGGGCCAGAGCACCATCATGGCTATGGCTCTAGGAAGGAGCCCTAAACCTAACCCTAACCTTAACCCTAACCCTAACCTAGCCCCCAGTTGGAACGGGGCTGTCCATTGCAGGGACAAGACACCGTCCCATGGCCATCCCCACCCCACTTACAAAATCCTACAAATGTCCCCTCTCCAGTGCCAAAGCTGCCTCACCTGGGGGGTGCCGCTCAGCCCCAGCTGCAGCACAGCCTGGCCATCCTCCGTGCTGGAGCACTTGATGGATTTGATGTGTTTGAACTCAGCCAGGCAGGTGGGCTGCAGGCAAAAGTGCTGTCAGACTCCAGTATTTGCCCTGGGGGTGTCCTCACCCCTCTGGGCCCCCCTACCTTGGCCTCCTTGCTTGTCATCTGCCGGATGCCCTTCGGCCCAATGACAAGGTCCACCGTGATGTTCCACCCTTGCTGTGCATGGGACAGAGAGAGGATGCACATTTTGGGGGGATTTTCCCCAAATCCATCTCTCCCCTCCCCACTGTGATGCCCTGGAGAGGCAACGCACACCCACCTTGATTGCATGGGTGCAGCAGCAGCCCCCCACAGTGCCCCCAACCCCAAAAAGACCCCAGTGCACCCTTCACTGTGCACTCACAATGAGCTCACAACGATAGCTCTCCTGGTCAATGTTGGCAAAGGTGGAGAGTGTATGCAGGAACTTGAGGATGCACTCCTCCTCCCGCAGCAGCGCGTACTGCTGGAACGTCTGCTGGATCATCTTGCGGAACTGCTTGGGCTGCGGGCAGAGAGGGATGTGGTTTATGCCATGGGGTGCACACATGCACACAGACATGCATGCACTCAGCTGCAGACATGCACATGCATCTGCATGCACAACCATGTATGCACACACACAAGACCACCCCCAGGCACTGACACATGCACACACACCCAGCCTGCACCCAGAGCTGCCCGTTGCAGGCAATCAGCCATCCCCATGTGTACGTCCCTCACCTTCAGGTTCTCCTGCATCTGGCTGGGGAAGAACAGGTCCAAGCCCACCTCCTTCCTGCAGAGCAGAGACCATGCACATGTCAAGGGCCACGTGCAGACTGAGAACACGCTGGGGGCTGCATCAACAAAGCAGGGGATGCATGGTGCAGCAGGGCTGCTCCCAGCACAGGGGCTGCAGGATGAGCCGTGCCTACTCACTCCAGGAACTCAAAGTTGGACTTCTTATCCAGCGCATTTTGGGGCATGTCCTTATAAAACCTCCTGCAGGAAGGATGCGATGTCAGACTGTTTGTACATTCTCGTGCATCCCTTCTCCACGTGCTTCCCCCCAGGGCTCTGCCCCCCGAGTTGGGTGCTGGAAGCCCCCTCCTGCTCCCGCTCCCCAAGCACCCAGCAGCACGTACCTGAGCTCGAGGCAGCCCAGCTGCAGGGCCATGCCCTCGCTCACCTTGCTGGCGTAGTTCTGCATGTACTCGCTGCGGAGCTAATGGGAAGAAACAGAGCTCAGGGGGTGGGGGCAGGGGGTGGGGATGCTCACAGGGTGCATGCACTTTGGGATCCCTCCTTGGGGTGTGCTGGGCTGGGGGAGAGATGAAGCCCAGCAATGCCAGGGGTGGGTAGGGGGCTCTGGAGAACCTGCTGGTAGAAGTAGAGAAGTGTGGTCCTGTCCTCTAAGAAACGCTCCACGTAGTCCTCAGGCAGATAGCGGATCTGCAGGTCGTACCTGGGGGCACAGCACAGTCCTGCAGAGCTGTGGGGGGCACACAGAGGGACCCCCACCCCGTGCCCAGGTCCCCATCCCCTACCTCCACTCGGCCTCCAGGTGCAGGCACTCGTACTTCTCCTGCACCTCGCCCACCGTCAGCTCGGGGTGCAGCCAGTGAATCTCGTCTGACTTGACGTGCTTCAGGCGCAGCCCGTAGCACTCGGACAGCTGGATGTCAGGCCCGATGCGGCCGCTCACCAGGATGGATCTGATCACCTCCTGGGGGCAGGGATGCAGCAAGCAGGGCTCAGAGCCCTGCAGCTGCCAAGGGCTGACTCCTCGGTTGCTGCGGCTTCACCCTTACGAAGTCCCGTGTCCTCCCATGCCCTCTCAAATACAAACTGCCCCTGTGAAAGGGACTCGATCCCAAGCCTTCATGTTCTGCACGAGCCAACAGATCTCAAAAACGAGAAGGAAATGCTACAAACCCACAGCCCCTTTGCAAGACCACAGCCTCTGCAGTCTCCACCTGAGGTTCCGGAGATGCCTTCAGCCCTCCCTACACCAACCCGCAGCCTGCACGTCTCACCCGAGCTCTCTGGTGTGTTGTAGTGAGGGGTAAAAGCCTGATCAGGTCGTTTCCACCCTTGTACCTCAGCAGAGCTACCCCTGATGCATAGCATCAGCTGCAGCATGCAGAGCATTGGTGTCCGCAGTAGGGTGTGAGGACAGCACAGACACTTTAGGACAGAGGTGATGGCCTCAGCTTGCACCAGGGGAGGTTCAGATGTGCTATTAGGAAATAATTCATCTCCAAAAGAGTGGTGATGCATTGGGAGAGGCTGCCTAGGGAGGTGGTAGAGTCCATCCCTGGAGAAGGGGCAGGGGAGGTCCCAGCATCTCCCCATGGATGTGGCCCTCGACATGGAGACACCACACCACGTCTGTGGGAAGATGCTGAGACATCTCCAACCCCTTCTCCACCAGGTCTTTGGGGTGAAGGGAACACAGGAGCTGCTGCAGACCCAAGCCTCCCTCTGAGCTACAATACCAACCCAACCCTCCAAGCATCCCAGGACGTGGTTTAGTAGGTGTGGTGGTGATGGGGCTACAGTTGGACTTGATGACCCTGGAGGTCTTTTCCAACCTTAATGATTCTGTGATTCTATTTAGGGACATGGTTTAGAGGGTATGGTGGGCATAGGTCAACAGTTGAACTTGATGATCTTAGGTGTCTTTTCCAGCCTTAGTCATTCTATGATTCTGTTTGGAGATGTAGTGTGGGCAAGATGGGGGTGGGCCAACAGTTGGACTTGGTGATCCTGGAAGTCTTTTCCAACCCCACTGATTCTAGTCGGCACGGTGGTGATGGGTTGACAGTTGGACTTGATGATCCTAAAGGTCTTCCAACTTCATTGATTCTATGCCTACTCCACAGCATGGGAACTGCTTTTTGCTGCCCAGAAAGGGGACTACTGGCCTGCTGGTCATGTCTAGATCATCTCCTTGCTCTCCAGGTTTTAGAGCCATAGGACTATGGATGCTCCCTCTGCCACCAGATAGATAAAAAGTTCCCCATCACCTTCCCCATCCCTGTGAGCCCCATGCCTACATACCCGGATCTCCGTCGTCACGGGGCACTTGACCAGCTTGAAATTCTTGCCCATGTTGAAGCTGTTGCTGTAGAAGCACACCTTGAGGATGCGCATCTCCTCCTTGTCCTCCTCCAGCATCCCCATGCCCACTTTGGCCTCCAGAGTCCCAGCCAGGCTGCGGAAGGAGCTGCTCCGTGGGCGGCCCAGGGGCTCAGGGAGGGCTGACATGCTCATGGCTGGGGGGGTGCTAGGGGCTGAGCATCCCTTCCCTGCGGGAAGACAAGCGCTGTGTCACCAGGTGGGGACAACTGGGGTGGGTGGGGAGGGGGGGAGAGGAAGGAGGGCTGGGAAGGAGATGATGGAGACAGAGACAAAGGAGTGCGACGAAGGGGACTTCTGAAGAAACACCTCTGCATCCATGTCACTTCCAGAGTAACATCTCTGTATCTGTCACCCCCAGAGCAATGCCCCTATGTTTCCAGCACCTCCACAACCAACACCTCCACTTGTCCAGCACCTCCATGGCAATGTGCCCATTTGGTCCCAGCACCACCAGTGCAAAAGCTTTGCACCCCCAGCACCACCAGAGCAATGTCCCTATGTCCCCAGCACCTCTGGAGCAATGTCTTTGTGTCCCCAGCATGTTTTTGCACTTCTGGAGCAATGCATTTGTGTTCCCATCGCCTTCAGAGCAACACCCTTGTGTCCCTACCACCTCCAGAGCAACATAGCTGTGTCTCTGTTACCTCTGAAGCAACAGCTCTTTGTTCCCATCGCATCTGGAGCTATGTCTCTATGTCCCCAGAACCTCCAGAACAATGTGCCCACATGTCCCCAGCACCTCTGGGGCAACACCTCTATGCCTCTATCACCTCCAGAGTAACACCTAAATGTCCCCATCACCTCCAGAGCAATACCTCTGTGATCCCATCCCCTCACAAACAACACCTTTCACCCCCATCACCTCCAGAGCAGTGCGCCCACGTGTCCCCATCTCCATTAGCTGGAATAATTAATCCTTCCTGCTCCAGCATCCCTCACCCAGCCCCTCACTCACCCCCAAAATCCAAGGCATGCCAGTGCGTGCTCTGCAGTGTGGGACAGTGCAGTGTGACCCCCCTGGCAGAGCTGCAGTTAGCAGAGGGCTTTTTGCAGAGATCAGAGCGAAACGGGGCAAGCAGCCCCGGAAAACTCATCAGCACCCGGAAAGGCGATATTTATTTATATTGATCAGCTCTTTTATTTTTAGAGGGCAAACAATCTAGAAGACTGCTCAGAAACGTCCCTTGGGCCGGAACAGAAGTGGTTTGGCTTTTCATTTTGCTGAGAACTACTGGAAACCACATTTAGCCTGCGCTGATCTAACAGATCCCAAGCAAGTCTCAGTTGTCCTCCTTTATTCTGTGGGGATTTCTGGGCCGTGAGCAGGGCACAAGGGATGGCAAAGGCACCGCTTGCCCCATCCCTTTGCGTGCAGCCGGACTGAGGCCAGGCACACTCAGTGCACACATATCACCAGCAGCCAAGAGGCACTTCTCAGCCATGAAACAGCCAACATGGAAGCTCAGCCCGGGGGCCTCTCCCTCCCCGAGCTCAGCCCTCCGGTTACTCATTAAACAGGTCCAGAGCTGTTTGCAAACAGGAGCACAGGTGGCCCATGGGTCACCCCAGGTCTGCTGGAGGGAATGGCCCCAAGGAGGGAGTCCTGGGTGTGGGGAGGAGGTGAGAGGGACTGGGAAGGCTCAAAGAGGACAGGGACGGTGCTGGGGGTCTGCCCTGCAGCATGTTCTATGGAGACATGGAGGCAGGTGGATGACATGGGGACCTGCAGGGTGCTGCAGACAGGGCACAGCATGGGTGGCACCAGCTCTCCCCATGGCACTGTGGGGTTCTGACACTCTCTGGTGCAGCTGGGGACAGTGTGACAGCCATCCTGTGGTGCCTGAATGGACGCAAGCAGGGGACAGGCAGCATTTCCCAGGGTCTGGTTTTGCTCTGGTGGTGCTACAGTGCAACCACAACCTGGGGGGGCACCAGCATGTGCACGTGCTCTTGCACACACTTTCACACCGTGTTACTTCTCACGGTGTGAAGGGGGTCTTGAGGTGTTAGCTAGTGACTTCCTGCCTGCCGTGCTGAAAACGGCCATAGGGTTGAACAGAATTAACCCCCAGCCCAACCCTCAGCTTTCCTTTTGGGGTTTGCTACAAAAGCTCAGTGCACAAAAGTGACGCCTCTCCTCCCAACCTTGGCTTCTCCCCTCACCAAATTCGTTCACACAGCATCACCATCCCAATGCATCCCTTTGTGTGGGACTGAGCTGATGCCCCCACCCCTTGGACACCCCCTGGGGCACTGCCCCCACGAGGACTTGACTATGTGCAGCCCTTTGGGTGGAGAAGGAGCCCCAACCCCATCCCCACACCCCCCGCCCCCACCTCACATCAGCACAGTGACACAGCCCACAGCAGCACGGCTCTGTCCCCATTGCAGCAGTGGCATTTGGGGACAACCCACCATAAGGGGACAGAGATGACCATGCAATGCTTCCATCACCAAGCCCTGTGCCTCCACCGCCCCTTCCCCTCCCCTCAGGGCTGGGACACCCCCGACGTCCTCGCTGTGCTCTGCCCCATACCAGGAAGTCCCTCTGGGTGCTCCCATGCACTCCTGAGACGTGGAAAAGTTTTCACACTCCGCGCTGTTCCCTCCAACCCTACCCCAAATCTCAGCCACGTCATGGAGCGACCCATCCTCACGCACCGGGGGATGGGTTGGACCCCCCTGGACCTCAGCTCGGTGTGACGAGTTTGCCCGTTCTCAGCTCGCCTCCCACCCCAACACCGGCACAAAGGGCGAAGGTCTGTGCCCCACTGCTCCCTGTAGGACACCCAGGGCAAGGGCAGGAGGGGGTGAGCGGCACTTACGGTGAGGTGGCCGTTGCTTGTCCCCACCCCGAGCTGACGGAGCTGCTGCTGCTTCCTGCTGTGTGCGGAGGCATTTGCATAGCACCCAACAGGCGGCTCACGCATGTGCCCACATGTGCGTAGGTGGGGAAACTGAGGCACGGCTCACCCAAACCCCCCCACACACACATTGTCCCAAACCTACTGCGTTGCCCCCAACCCATTGCATTTCCACCCCCTAAATGTCAGCTTTGGGGCTGCAAGCCCCCCTCCTCCCCAAGCACAGGGACAACTAGGATCCACCCACCATTTACCTCGTCCTTTCAGCAGTGTCCCGTTTCCATGCCATGGTGTGGGACAGACAGGGGGACCCTACAGCCGTCTGCCTCGCCCTGGCCCTGCCCCATCGGTGCAGGTATTTCAGTGACTCATGGTGGATTGTTATGGTTCCGGGGGAGCAGAGAGGCTCCTGCAGGGGTTGAAGCAGTGGCACCTATAAGCACTGCACTGCAGCACCCACACTTGGAGGCTGCGTCCTATAACCGGGGCTGCACCACCCCACGCAGACCCACAGCACTGGCTGCGTTCCTCAGTTTTTCCTGCCTTCTGTCAGCCCCAGGGCAGAGGAATCTGGACACCAAGGAATGCTCTGGGGGCACACCTGCCTTATCTCAAACGCCTGCTCCCCATATCTGCCCCAATCTGCCCAGCTCCCATCCATCACTTCAGCCCTATCCCCAGCAGGGAGCAGGATGTCAACACCCAACCCCCCTCCTAATGCATCCAACTCCCAAATCCAGGGGTCTGCATTCATTCCAGCCCTGTAGTGGGACAGTGTGGAGGAGGAGAACCCTGGCAGCAACTTCAACAGTTGTTGGTGCTGGGTGCCTGCTGGATGGGTTTGGAGTGCTGGGTTTGGGCCACAGCAACAGCAAAGGAAGAACGTGTTTCGCAAAGCAAAGGAAGTGACACATGCTGCAACGGTGGGACAGGCTGCCCCAGGGGGGTTGGAGGGCTGCCCTCTCTGTTTGCAGACCCCAACATCATTTGCAGATCCCCAAACCACTTGTAGACCCCCAAAATACTGGCAGACAGCCCAAAGCACCAAAAACTCAATGGCCCAAAATGCCAGCCCCAACAAGCATCCATTGGACATCCTCAGTATCAAGGCTAGCTCCGAATACATTTCCATCCGTGCTTTGCTTAGTACAACTACAACTCCCTTCGTTGTGTCTCCTATGGAGGGTTTAAGCATTCTGCCAGGATGCACTTTTGTTTTCAGAGATGCACCTTCATTTTCAGAGAATCACCCCCCACTTTTAGAGATGCACCCCCATTTTCAGACGTGTACTTCATTTTCAGAAATGAACCCCCATTTTCAGAAGTGATCCCCCATTTTCAGAGACACACTCATATTTTCAGAGATGAATCTCCATTTTCAGATATGTACCCCATTTTCAGAAGTGATCCCCCATTTTCAGAAATGCACATCATTTTCAGAAATGTACCCTATTTTCAGAGATGTACCTCTATTTTCAGAGGTGTGCTCCCACTTTCAGAAAATCACTCCCATTTCCAGACATGTAACACAATTTCAGAAATGCACCTCCATTTTCAGAGACACACCCCCATTTTCAGAGATGTATCCCACTGTCAGGGAAGCATTCCCATTTTCAGAGATCCATCCTCATTTTCAGAGATGCACTCCTGTTTTCAGAGACACACTCCTATTTCCAGGGAAGCACTCTCATTTTCAGAGAACCACCCCTATTTTAAGAGAGGCGCTCTTATTTCCAGAGATGCACCCCTATTTCCAGAGATGCACCCCATTTTCAGAGACATGCCCCTATTTTCAGAGATGCAATCCCATTTTCCAAGTGCGAAAACACTGCTACGGGTGTTTCTGGGTGCAGGAACAGCTCAGGAAGCCCCCTCCCCCCCAGCCCCAGATCTGCACCAAGCAGCTGGGTACGTCGATACGTGCAGCACTGCTGAGGAATCAGAATCGAGACGCTGTGCTGCCATCACGCCCACGGCCGGAGCTCGCTGAAGAGGTGACTCAGGCACGGGGGAAAGATCTGCGTGTTCTGTCTGCGCTGTGTTTCTGTCCCAGCAAGGGGACAAGGCAGGGCCATCTGGGCTCCCTGCGAGGCTCCCCAGTACATCTCCACTCCCCACTCCCCCCCCAGTGCAAGGCAATGGGGAGAGGGAAGCAGGGACGTGGGTTTGGAGGCAAAATGTCCCCAGTGAGTTGCTGTCAGCGCTCCCCTTGAGGGGGTCTCAAACCTGACCCCACTGCAGAGTCCTCCCTAAAAGCCTCCAACATCAGCAGCAACCACGTGGAACCTGCAGTTTTCCATCAAAACCTTGAGTGAAATGGGATAAAATCAATAGTTTTCCCTGGTGAATGTTTCCAGTCTATGGGACCTGCAGGACCACGTTCGCAGGGCACCCCGTAGGTGTGCCCTAACCCTGCACCGAATCTCAGTGCTCTCACTCATTCTCATAATTAACAATGCAATTACCACTTGGCCAAGTAATAATGCAACTACCACTTGGTTATTTCTTGGATTTCCCCAAGAAAACCAAAGCACGGCAGCACGGAACACGAGAGTTGAGCATACCAGCAGCTCCCAAAATTGGGCTGTGGGAGTGAGGGCATCCATGGGGGATGAGGGAGGATGGGGCTGAGAACAGTACCAGGGCAGCAGCAGGGTTCAGCTGCAGCCTTCCCCATCCAGCACTGCTCCCACAGCTCTGCCAGCCTAAAAATAACCCCGAACAGCACCGAAAGCTTGGGGAGGGGAGCAGCTTCCCAGGAACAGGGTGGGCGTATTTCCCGGTAACCTTTCTGCGCCAGAAGGAAGCGGAGGGCTTTGCAGCATCATTGGTTGGCACGGCTGGTACTGGTCGCTAGGCATCCCCGTCACCAGGCAACCTGCAGGAACACGATGTTGCTCCTGCATCCTTGGGGTGGGCAGGGAATGGGGGCACGGGGCAGCAGCCCAGACTGTGCCCCACCCCGCTGCAGGCACTGCTACAAAACCATACAGCCCCCAGTACCTGTTTCTGCCAGGCTGATGGGTGCTAGAGCTAATTACAGCCGTCATATTCACATCAGCTTCATTAGGGAAACTCATCTCCTCCAAAACTTTAAAATTCCCGGGCAGGCCATGGCATTTTTGGCAGAAATCACACAAAAGAATGCAAAGCTGCAGGTTCTGCAGCACAGCCCTTTCCCTCCGGCACCAGGAATTTTCAGAGATGCATCTCCATTTTCAGAGACACACCCCCATTTCCAGTGATGTACTCATATGTTCAGAGACGTGCTCCCATTTTCAGTGATCCACTCTTATTTTCAGAAATGCTTCCCTGAAAATAGGGATCTCTATTTCCAGACATGCAACCCTATTTTCAAAGATGCACCTCTATTTCCAGAGACGTACCTCCCCACTTTCAGAGATACACCTCTGTTTCCAGACATGCACTCCATTTGCAGGGATCCACCTCTATTTTCAGAGATTCATCCCTATTTTCAGACATCCAACACATTTTCAGAGACACATCTCTACTCTCAGATGTATCCCCATTTTCAGAGACAGACATCTCCCATTTTAGGAGATGTACCTCCATTTCCAGAGTTGCATCTCAAACCCAAACCACAGCCCCAAACCCTGGAAAAATCATCAGTCACCTCATACACAGAAATCACCCGAGGCCCTTCCCAAGGCCATTTCCCCTTTCCAATGGCCACAATGCACCACAAAATGTTTGTGCAACATTTGTAGGATCACATCCTGCAGTGCCCCTCGCATTATCTGGGCTGGATGCAACATGGCTGCGTCTGCATGATGGTTGTGCACGGTGATGGTTGTGCACGGTGGTGGTTGTGCACAGTGATGGTTGTGCACAGTGATGGTTGTGCACGGTGGTGGCTGTGCGTCGTGCTTGTTAGATGTGCATTGTGTTTGTTAGATGTGCACTGCATTAGTTGTGCATTGTGTTCGATGTGCATTGTGTCAGATCTGCATTGTGGTGGTTGCACACTGCGGCAGTGCAGGTGCAAAGCACTGTGTAGATGCACAGGGCTCAGGAAGTGGTGCAGCTCCCAGCTGTGGCCGCTGACTGAAACTTCAGTGGGGACTGGGAGGTTTCCCAGTGGCTCACGGGAGTTGTGTGCATCCCCAAGTGTTCCTCTTCCCCCTTTGCAGCCTCTTCCCCAAACAGAGCACTGTGGCCCTTCCCTCCAGCAGTGTGCTGCCCCCATATGAACAAAACCCCCAAATTTTGCCCCTCACAATTTCACAGAGAAACACATCCCTGTGGGTTTTGGGCTGAGCTCCCTTCTGCTGATCCTCAGAGAAAGGGACCTGAGCACGGCATGCTGCTGCAGGATGGAACGTAGCAACACTTCCCACGGAAGGTTCACGTCTATTCCTCGTGAGTAATAAGTGTGCCAGGGAAAAAGCAACATGATTCAGATGGCGCTTCCCCAGCCCCCACCGTCTGCACGAGCCTGAGCATGGAGCACTGAAAAACAGCTGAGCACAAAGGCATGGAGATGTGGAGCCTGGGGGCAGCAGTACTGTGCCCCATGCATGCACCGACAACACCATGGGCTTATGCATCCCTCCCTGTCCTTTGCAGACTGGGAGGCCTGCAGCCCCCATCCCACTTGGGTGCTCCTGCGTGGACACCTCTGCACTGTGCATCCCATATGGCGTGCTCCTGCATGGACACTGCTGCCCCGTGCAGCCATCCCCACGCACCCAGGCTGGAGGGTACATCTGCTGTAGGTGCAATGGGTGGAAATGGGACCACTCCTGGTGCGTCCCTGTTCCTCACCAAGGCCCTGCCCCACTCAGGAAGGCTCTCACAGCACTCCTGCTCAGGAAGCCCTAGGATACCCAGCCTGGCTGAGCCCTCCCCACCTCTCACATAACACCAGAGCCCCATGCCTGGTGCTCCATCCCACCCCCTGCTCTGGACATGTCCTCCCAGCCCTGGCCCAGCCCTCAGACACTCTCACTCTTGGGAGACCCAGCAACAGGACCCTCCCCACCAGGAGATGCAGGCAGTTCCCCGCAGCACCACCTGCATAGGGCCAGGTTTGGAGGAGCAACACATCCTGCTGGGATGACCCATCCCAAAGCCAACGGCGATGGATAAACTCCACCAAGCAGCACCCAGAGCAGCCCGCAGGCACCCAGTGTTGCATCAGCCCCTCTCGCCCTCCCAGCGCTCCCATCCCCAGGGTTCTCCCCGTGACGACGATGCTGGCACACACCACCCAACCCTTGGGCAAACATCACAGCACCTCCCACCCCGCTGCGGCCCAGCTCGCCCCGAGCACCGAGACGCAACGTCCCACTCCCACTTCCTGCCCTCGGCTCTGCGTTTCCCCCTTCTTTTTTTGCACCGTGCTCCCCAAAGTGAGCAGAGCTGCTCACCTTGGCGCTGCCTTCGCCCCCACTGGCCCTGGGGCAGCGTGTCCCGTGCTGGAACCGGTGTTGAAACCACTCCTCCCCACCGCCCGCTTCCGGATGAGGCCACGACGCCGGGAAGGAAGAGGAGGGCGGGAGGCGAGGAAGGCAGCAGGACCCCTCACCTGCTCACTCCCTTGACCCCGTAACAGGTTGGGACAGGTTGGGAATTTGGGCACGGGGCCCAGCGTATGGGGCCTCTCCTACCTGGGAAGAGCTGGCAAGCGGCCCCCATGGAGCCCGGCGCTCTGCAAGGGGATGAGGAAGGAATGAGGATGGTGCAAGAACCGCTGTGCCAACGTCCGGGGCAGCAGGGAGGGCTCTGGCAGCACCACCACCCTCAGCACACCGCCCCGTTTGTGGGGTGCACTGGGGACACCCCACTACCTGAGCCCCTCTTTGATCACACAGCAGCACACAGCCCCCAGCCCCACAATACGGCATTGGGGGTGTTGGATATTGAGGGCTGGAGGAGGAGGAGGAGGAAAGGGGGAGCAGTGGGGTGCTCTCCCTTCCCCCCTCCCCATCACAACGCAGCACTGTGCTCCCAGCAGCGGGGTGCTATGGGGGCGGTGGGCACTGCCACATGGGCTGGTTTCCATGCAGGAAGCTGAGCACGGTAGGGGAAGCAGCAAGGCAAAGCCGCAGACAGGCAGTTCCCCAAAGCCCATATGCAGGCACCTTTCTCTCAGCCTCAGGCTCTGCAAACCACAGGGACTGCACAGCTGCAGGCAGCAGCCGTAGGGCGAATGGGTTCTTACTGGGAATTCCCCTCCACAGCCACCTCCTGCCCCATAGCGGTTTCCCTGCACGAAGGCAAGTTGGGTGTTGGCATGGGGAGGGGAGATGCTGCCCCTGCTCCCATATGGATCCCCATCACTGGAAGAAGCAGCCTCTAGGGGTCCCCTACACAGTGCTTGGAGGGTCCCTGCTGGTGCTGACCCCTGTGAGGTGCAACGCAGCCACCGGACACAAGCCAAGCACCCCACAGGCAGGTGCTGAAGGGTCCCTTTGCACCCTGAGAATTGGAGGAAAGAGTCAAGGAAGGTTTCAGGGCATGGCAACCCCCCACTTAGGGGCCAGGAGCACTGAGGACCGCTGTCCCCCTGTGCCACTGGCGGCCCTCCCACGCACACAGAGCCATACTGGCAGCCCAACCCCAAGCAATTCCGATGCTGAACATCACAGGGCCACTCTAACACAGGCCAACATCTCCCAGCAAAGGGCAGGGGGCAGCGGATAGGCGATAGGTGTCCCCCCACCAGCAGGAACAGCAGGGGACAGCAGCTCCAGGCATCGCTCTGCCCAGGGAGGTGCACAGCTCCACGTGCACCTTTCCCTCTCCATGCGCTCCCGAGGAGGTGCAAGTTTGGGATGGACACTGCGATGCCACTGCTGCGCCCTGGCCAGCACAGCTCCATGGAGCAGGGTTTGGTTAAGCCATGCCAAAAATGAACCCAATGCACCAAAAACCAAGCAACCCTTCTCCCCTTAACCCTCCCTCCCCACCTTCATCCCGGACTCACAGGAGAGCTGGTTCAACAGCCTGCTGAGCCATCCCATGCTCCCGCGCCGAGCTCGTAGCTACGAAACGCCGGAGAGAAACAGGTTTCCCCCCCCCCCCCCCCCCCCCCCCCC